GGGTTCCTAGCCGAGGTTCCTAATAAAATCATTCCGTTATTCCATAGAATGAAAACTAATCATACCAAACTATTCAATTATTATTATCAACAACAAACATATTATGAATCTATATGTGTTCGTTGGTGAGATAATTAAATCTTTCTAAGTGGGGTTAGGGGCGTTTGTTCATAGGCGTTCATTATTTATATACATTATAATAATATATATAAATAATGTTGGTCCTATGTGTGCTCTTTAGCGTCAGGCCAGTGGCGCCAGTAATGATCTAGGGTGGTATAGCGCCAGGCTAGTGGCGCTAGTAATGATCTAGGGCGGTATAGCGCCAGGCTAGTGGCGCTAGTTATGATCTAGGGCGGTATAGCGTCAGGTTAGTGGCGCTAGTAATGATCTAGGGTGGTATAGCGCCAGGCTAGTGGCGCTAGTAATGATCTAGGGCGGTATAGCGTCAGGTTAGTGGCGCTATAGTAATGATCTAGGGTGGTATAGCGTCAGGCTAGTGGCGCTAGTAATGATCTAGGGTGGGATAGCGTCAGGCTAGTGGCAACGTTCTCAAGAGCGGCATGCAGCGGGAGTCAACGGTGGTCGGCGAGACAAAAAACCCTTGGTCGGCAAGAAGAAACAATGAAGAAATAAAATAAAAAGAAACAATAAAGGCAAGAGTAAGGGTCTCGAGTCAGTCTTGGTAAGCCCGGCAATTAAGTTCTTGAGGAACAATGGCAGGGCACAGATCTCGACGGCTTAGTGGCTGAGCGATGCGCCAAAAATGCTTGCCAGTGTCCAAAAAAAAGTCCCGATGGGCTCTGAATTTTGTGAATGGAATTGACGAAAATCGTCGCGCACTCGAGGCGAGATGGTTATGAAAAAATTGTTTACGGAAATTACGCAGTGAGAATGATTTAGGGGAGACTATTTACAAGCGAATAACGTTCTATTGTCAGTGAAACCGCGCATTCAGAGGTACACCGAAATAACGAAGAATGTTTAATTTAGAATTTATAAAAGCACGCTCACGCTCACAATTAAAGGTGTAGAGAACCAAAATTAAAAAAAAACCTAGATTGAGACCCGAATTTGTGTAAAATGACCATTAAATTTTTTTCATTTTAATGACCATTAAATGCCATTAAACTAAGGTGTTAAACATTTTGATCGAGCGGCGGTGTTATATGAACGATCTTAACCGTTGCGAGAGTTGACTGAAATCATCCCTCGGTCGAATTGGAGTAGTCAAACGCGACGTAAACCTATGATAAAATTGATTCTCAATAGTGCTCAAATAACGATGTAAGTAATGCACACAAACGTTAGATAACTGTAAACAAAGTCGACTTCTCCAGCATTTCCTGAGCAACACATTATAGAGATATGAAAATTAAAAAGCTTGTAAATTATTGTCATTTTTCACGATAATTCAATCATGAGATCCCCAAAGTTTCCTCATTGTAGATAGGAAGCGATAACATTCTGCTCCAAGTACTGAAAATCTGGCGCTTTATGCTTCTTTGAATATAATTTGCGTCACTCATATTATCATCATAAATCGAGCATTATATAATTTGCGCATGCAAAGCTCGTTATTTCTTCAGATACAGGTTCCGTCTCTTGCTCATCGATTTCCGGTCGAATTCACGAATCCTAATTCACGGGCTCCAGTTCACGAAGAGTATCGCATTGCTGGCTTTGTGCGGCAGTCAACTGATCTCGGTGAATCAACCTGGCCGCTTCCTAACAAAATTTGGCAATATTTTCCAATGAACTTTGCGAGCAATTTGTTTCTGGTTGCCTAATAGTTCGAGGTATCGAATGTCCGCAGCGAAAGCTGCTTTAAAAAGCAGAGGACACGTGTGCAGAGAATCAGGGGCTATATACTTTCAAAACTCGCTAAGTGAACGTTAGTACTTACGTTCTATTTTCTTGTCTATGATTGGTGGATTTGGCTTGAAAGGCCGTCAATGATTGGCTGATGAATTTACGATCACTGAACTTTTTTTGAAAGTATAGGCCCAGAAAGTTTCAACAGTAAAAGACAAACAGGTGAACAAGTAGAAACTTTTGACGGTTTGTAAGTACGAGTAACAACGAAGTCATAAATCAGTTTAAAACGATATCAAAACGTCGAAGAAAAATTAATCAGACAGAATTACGTGATGCTAATACAGATGCATATAAATGTTGACATGGAAACTCGGTTAAGCTAAAAAAGTAAGAATATCGAAAAGACATTTCATCAAATCATTGATCAAAAAGCTCCAATTCATATTAATCGAACCACATCTTATATTTTTCTATATAAATTACAGGTATGCATGAAAATATGCCGATATGAAACTCAATTGATTGAAAGAAATAAGCGCAGCAGGTATCATTTAATAAAACTTCACCCACTAAAATTATTGTTGACATTTTAATGGTCCTCTAGCTGTTAGACTGTTATAATCATTTTCTATGCAATTTTATATGTATTTTGGCTATCTTTATTTAGGCTGAATTTAATATGATAGCAGTATGTTAGCTTTGGAATGTCATAATAATTTACAAACAAGATTTAATTTTACTTTAAGCTCAGCGTCATAGTATTAACTTTAGTAATTACTTTAAGTTCAGTCTCCTAGTATAACCTTTAGTATTTACTTTGATTTCATTTATTTTTACTTCTACGTTCAGTATCCTTGGTAATTGATCCGGCGTAGCAGCCCCAGGCCACCTCAGTGAAAATTTACAGACGCGGCAGCTTCTGATTTGGATTACCAGAAGCTGGGGCGACTCTAAATTTTGTTAGGGACGCAGGCAGCAGTACTCACCATCTCAACGGAGCCATAGTGTCGTCTGCTGAAGACGCCTCGACGTGAGATCAGGTCGCTCGATGCCGACCTGGTCAAAGAAAACCAGAATACAGTCAATGGTTCAACTATAAAACCAATAGAAAATATAATTTACATACCAGACAAAAGAGGCATTATTGTAATCTTGCCATGTGCAGAACTATTCTAAGTTAAAGTTTGATTAGCAGGTTGACCCCTACGTTTTTATTATCAAAATACCATGGCGATCCGTTAATTACAAGGGCTTATTCAAATTTGGTCGGAATATCTAAATATATAATCAAATTAAAAATTAAAAAAAATTGTAATGACTCAAATTTACTGACATTCTCCTAAAATAAAACAGAGAATAAGCTCCCAGATCTTATTTCGGTAATTAGAATAGTTTTCAAAAAATTTACTAAAAATTCAATACAATTTTCAACCATATTACAAAAAGATGAATCTTGAAAATATAATATTACTCCGACTTGTCTAATTATTATCTTTTACCAAGTCGGGAACTTAAAACGAATACCAAGTTAATGAGTGGCCTTCATTAAAATTCGAACCCTAAGCATTCTTCTTTTGATCATGAAATGTTTGATTGTGGCTCCATTTACCCATTCCAATTAACATCGTGCACCTTGATATGATTCTGCTACAATATCTTTCACTGATGTATTGAATCTCTAAGGACGTTGTAAAACAAAAAACGTTCAAATACCGTCAGAGAGATGGGCTTTTTTCCTAAAGAGAACGACAGGATAAAATATTATGACCGAATGGACGTACGATTAGCTAATCGCTCGACTAAACTCTAGTAACTTTCAGAGTTTCAACAGCCATCATTCAATAAATGGCTTTTTTTACAGCGAAGTAAAACCATAAATGAACCTAAACATCAGCGGTTAGAATTACAGATACAATAATCACATAACCCCCAAGACAATAATCACATAACCCCCAAGACAATAATCACATAACTACAAAGACAATAATAACATAACCACCAAGACAATAATAACATAACCACCAAGACAATAATAACTTAACCACCAAGACAATAATCACATAACCACCAAGTTTTACTCATTTCACATGGGACGTTTAGAGGACGGACCTGTCAGGTACCATTCTTCTCAATGTCATCTCAGTGAGTTTGAAACACAGCAATTAAGAGCAATCCAAACTTCACGCAATGAATGGGTCAAGTTAGACGACAACTTTTGGTGCGGACTCAGAAGTTGTTCGTGCGGTTCACTGCTTCACTATACTGAGTCGCCGGCCTGCGTCGCTGAGGAAATTTCACATTTACTGGTCTAGACTTCTAGAAGTCTCGTGAACATGCAAAAAATACCTGTACACTTGCATTTAAAATATTAATTTTTATATCGGCAGCATGGATTGAAAATATGATGACTCGTTGGTCCCAAAAAGTGACACCAATGTCATTTACGTCAGCCAAAAGCTTAGAACGCATCAATTTACGAGGACTAAACAGATGGGATGAAAATCATGTACTTTAAAATTTTATAACGGAAAGTTGAATAGAATTATGAGGCTCGCGCCTTTCGCAATGACCCATAAAAGTGTTATATGTAATATAATTTTAGATTACTCTTTTTCCAAAAGAGAGAACAGATTATAAAAAGTTACAACTCGTTCAAAATTTCTTACATTCAATTATGATTCATTTTTCACTTTGCAGAAACAATACTGCATGAATTACTTTCGGAATTAATTTAATTTGCTCACGTTGCACTGAATAGAATATTGTATAAAACGTTCATACCTAGCAATTCTTCTTCATATAAATGACGGGATTTACATATTCTGCTCCCTTCACTTCGGAATTACGTGTAAATTTACATATTGCCAACACTTTATTCTTCGCGTTGAGGCCACAGTGCAAATTGTCGCAGGGTGGGAAGAGGCAAGGGCCGTGGAACAGGTAAAGCGAGCGCTGGCCTGACACATTGATGAATGTTTCAGTCAAGGCAGCCGTTGGGGGCAATTCCATAGAAAATATCACTAGAAATATCCCAAGATTTACGTTAACCATTCGGTTCAATTTCCTCGGCTTATAATAGATTCAATATATACGTTTATTATTCTTAAGGTGGTTGACAGGAGCTTGAAGTGTGCAATAAATAGATATAAAAAGCTTCAAAGTTATCAGTTGCCTTTGTGAATTTGATTAAATATAATTCAGAAACTGCGTTTAAGGAAAAGATTTTATAAAGTTGGAGATTAGGATGATATCTTTCGTTTCGCATATTTAGCGAAATTTAATTTCCATTAGTGAGGTCTTTTTGAAATGGTCAATCAAGTTATTCAAGTTTCCTCTGATAGATACTTCACGAACTCCTGGGATTTTGAAATTTCATACTCAAACTTGGCATTATTTAAAACTTTCATTATTGTTGGAAAGAATTATGCCGATAAAATCTATGCGACTCATTGGCTAAGGAATTAGCTACCACTGGAAAATTTAGTCAGACTTACACTTGCGGGAGAGAACGCACTATTAACGAATGAAGTATAAATAGGCTCTTTCGATTAATAGTCTCAGTTCTTCTAAACTTTCAGTAGTGACAGTGGAAGATAAATATTCAGTCCCTATGTATTGAATTGAGCTTCCATTTGTCGCAAAAAAGTCGCTAACTTTGTGGGACAACTAATGGGAATCATATTGCATCAGATCAATAATAATGGAAAATAAGGATTTTTGGTGCTCTTCAATATCGATGCTTGATGATTAAGACTATAAAACACATGTAGCGGATTTAATTAATAAAAAATCTCGGCAAATCGGAAACGTTTCTTTTAGTCGCGATCACTGCAAGAATTCTTTGATTCTATAGAAGGCAACAAGTGCCTAAGAAATAACGTCAGTTAATATGCCTAAGAAATAACGTCTGTAAGAGCGTCAGGTAGCGGATTTGATTTATATAAAAATCTCAGCAAATCGGAAACGTTTCTTTTAGTCGCGATCACTGCAAGAATTCCCTGATTCTATAGAAGGCAACAAGTGCCTAAGAAATAACGATGAACGTCAGTAATGCACGCGCGAGACCCGACGAGAGCAGCCAATAGAGATTGAAGATCCCAGTGATAGAAACTAAGCCCCAGTCGATCAGAGATAAACCGTCCACGCCGTTTATTTTCAGCCCGTCCACTGGGCTCTCTGAAATCGACGCAGAGTTATCAGACTGCCTCCTAAAAAAACCTCTATTTGTGACTTTTTGAACGGAACGGCACTGTAAAAGAGCCGAATAGAACCGTTTGAAAACTAAATTCGAAGAGGCAAAGAATGGATTTTTTTTTACATCAGACGTAGATTTTCTGAAATGTCGCGATGACACAAAAAATTGATCTCCGAGACAATTTTTGAATCTGGCTGATTTTCAGAGATTTGGAAGAATCCTATTTACTTCTAGAATGACAGTAACCTAAACATGTGCAAATAATCAGGTTAGGAATCACAGGTTCTGAATGTTTACTAATGAACTATTAAACAATATTGGCCCAGTTTAACTATTGATATTGACCAATTAGAATCACTAAATTTGGTAACAGTTAGAAGACAGGCCATGCAATGAATGCTTGTTTTAGTCATAAAAAATCAATAAATTATTATTCATATCTATTAACTTCAAATTTGAATGCATAACCAGTAAAAATTGAATTTTATACATTCAAACGTAATTTCTACTGCCCCCTAAATTGTTCAAAAACACCGTAAAACAAATGGTATGCGAAGAAAGAATGGCATCCGGAGGTCGGAGAAACGTCGGGGCGGCGAGCGAATCGATCTTTTGGATGGGCGACAAGGGGGGAGTTCTGCACCCCTCGACCCTCCCCTCCCTGTAGCCTCACTTCCCAATCTCAGTCAAAAAATAAAAATATTTAACTCAGCACTCACTGCAGTGAGTGATAGAGAGAGCATTTTCTCGTTAACGAAAACGTGAAGTCACGGACGGACAGACAGGCAGACGGGCGGACAGACGGACGGACGGACATAACGAGCACAATAGGGCATTTTTCAATAAATGAGCAAATGCGATGAAAATTATAAAATAAAAAAAAACAGCCTTGGTTGTTTTAATGGACTACGAGACTGCGTCGATGTCATCGTTGCTGTTCCTCAATTAAAAAACTGAGAAAATGTGATTTGTAGTTCCGGTACGAAGACGAATGAAGAGAATGTTGCTTGTTAATGCGACTGCTACAGTCAGATTAATGTCCGTAATATTAATCATTATGCGACATGATAGATCGGTAGTCTTATTTTGGAAGACAGATTTGTAGAGAATATCACTGGTTTGATTTAAAGATCCCGTATGATCCTCAAACCGTAATCGATAAATTCATCTTCTATAATGAAATCAATTTCTGAATTTTTATACAACCATTTATTTTGAACAGAAAAAAATTTTAACTGTCAGGAATTTGCGGGAACGTGCCTAGATGTTACCTCTCTTTTTTCTTTTTCTGAGAAAGAAAGACAGGGATGATGTCTGATGAAAGACAAGAATGATGCACATACAAGAATGATGTCTGGTATAGTGTATTGTGATGCACTGAATTGTGTACAAAGTCAGAGAAGAAGATCACATGGCCTGCCACGAAATATGCCGCATATAAATAAAGATTGTGGCGACCCGCCAGCCGAACACGAGTCCAAACAATGACGCTACGATCAGTGTCAAGATGGCGCGATCCTCACTGGAATATTTATTAAATTTATTAATCTCTTATATTATATATTTGATTAGTTTCTAGTAATAATTATCGAAGAAAAGCTAAGAATGAAGTCATGCTATTCAAAACGAATCAAAACAAATGACGCGAATGGCAACAATCAGTGTCAAGATCGCGCGATCTTCACTGGAATATTTATTAAACTTATTAATCTCTTATATTATATATTTGATTAGTTTCTAGTAACAATTATCGAAGAAAGGCTATGAATGAAGTCATAATGTATAAACGAATCAAAACAATGACGCGAACGGTCACGATCAGTGTCAAAATGGCGCGATCCTCAAGGAAAGTATTAAAGAT